AAAAAACAGAAAAACAAAAAAACAAATCTAGACTCAGGCCCTACAGTCTTCACAAGAATTAACTCAAAATGAATCATAGACCTAAATATAAAAATAAAACTCCTAGAAGATAACATAGGAGAAAATACAGATGGCCTTGGTTATGGCAATGACTTTTTAGATACAACATCAAACATGATCTATGAATGAAATATCTGGTAAGCTAGACTTCATTAAAATTTAAATTTTCTGCTCTGTGAAAAGCGATGTCAAGAAAATGGATGACAAACCAGCGACCGGGAGAAAATACTTGCATAAGACACATTTGATAAAGGAACGTTATACAAAATATACAAAGAACTCTCAAAGCTCAACAGTAAGAAAACAACCTGATTAACAAATGGGCCAAAATCTTAACAGCTACCTCACCAAAGAAATACAGAGATAGCAAATAATGAGATGCTCAACATCATGTTATCAGGGAAATGCAAATCAGAACGAGATACTGCTACACACATAAGAGAATGGCCAAAATCCAGAACACAGACACCACCAGAAGCTCATGAGAACATGGCATGACAGGAACTTTAATTCATTGCTGGTGGGAATGTAAAATGGCAAAGTCACTTTGAAAGACAGTTTGGTACTTTCTGACAAAAACTAAACCCATCCTTACTGTACAATGCAGCAATCACACTCCCTGATATTTATCCAAAAGAGCTGAAAACTTATGCCCATACAAAAACCCACACATGCATGTCAACAGCAGCTTTATTCCTTTTTTTCAAGTTTACTTATTTTGAGAGAGAGCGTGAGAGCGCACAAGTTGGGTAGGGGCAGAGAACAGAGAGAGAATCCCAAGCAGGCTCTGCACTGTCAGCACAGATCCCAATGTGGAGCTTAAACTTACAAACCATGGGATTGTGACCTGAGCCAAAACCAGGAGTTGGACGCTTAACCAACTGAGCCACCCAGGTGCCCTGACAGCAGCTGTATCTTAATTGCCATAACTTGGAAGCAACCAAGATGTGCTTCAGTAGGTGAATGGATGAATGACTGTAGTACATTCAAACAATGGAGTATTATTCAGCACTAAACAGAAATGAGCAATCTAGCTATGAAAAGACATGGTCAAACTTTCAATGCATATTACTAAGTGAAAAAAGCCATTCTAAAAAGGCTACCTACTGTATCATTCCAACTATATATGACATTCTGTAAAAGGCAGAGACAGTAAAAGATCAGTGGTGGCTGGAAGCTGGGGGAGTGGGAACAATGAGGGTTTTCAGGGCAATGTAAATACTACAATAATATAATGATGAATACGTGTCATTACACATTTATCAAAACCCACCACATGTACAACACCAAGAGTAAACCCTAATGTAAACTATGAACTTTGGGTGATTATGATGTGTCAATGTAGGCTTGTCAACTTTAACACATATGCCACTTTGATGGAGAATACCCTAAATGGGGCAGGCAATTCATGTGTAGAAATGAGAGGTACGTGGGAAACCTCTGTACCTTCCTCTCAATTTTGCTATGAAGTTAAAACTGTTCTAAATAAAAATAAAACCTTAAATAAAAATAATTTACTAACACAGCATGGTGATGAGGAGGAGACAATGCAGGACAGGGGAAATTCACAACCTGGACAATTAGTCACTAAAAAATCAAGAATTAACCATCTGCAGAGAGCAAACAGTCAATGTAGTAAAAATATTTTGGTCATGAGGATCACCATCCCACATTTAAAAAAAATTTTTTTGAATGTTTATTTTTGAGAGAGTATGAGCAGAGGAAGGGCAGATAGAGGGAGAGACAGAATCACGAGCAGGCTCCAGGGTCTAAGCTGACAGCACAGAGCCCAATACAGGGCTCATACTCATGAACTGTGAGATTATGACTTGGGCTGAGTCGGATGCTTAACTGCTGAACCACCCAGGTGCCCCTCACCATCCCCCATTTTAGAACTAATTTCTTTACATATTTTTTCTTCCCTTAGAGTCTTCCTAGGCCACATACATATTTCACAAAGTCAGCTAAGTCATGATTAAACAATTTTTTAAAAATTCTGATAAGTGATTGAAACCACAAATGTACATGTTTCAACCTGCTACAACAGATGTTCTAAAATTATGATTCCTAGAACTTGCAATCTCAAATGAGCTATCTGCGAGCAAAAGCTGACTTAGCCAACAGGATGAAATGCAACCCACTGCATTACTCTGATTTTTCTAGATAAGTGACTTTAAAATTCTATTTACTTTTTTTTTTTAACGTTTATTTTTGAGACAGAGAGAGACAGAGCATGAATGGGGGAGGGTCAGAGAGAGGGAGACATAGAATCTGAAACAGGCTCCAGGCTCTGAGCTGTCAGCACAGAGCCCGACGCAGGGCTTGAACTCACGGACCGCAAGATCATGACCTGAGCCGAAGTCGGCTGCTTAACTGACTGAGCCACCCAGGTGCCCCTTTATCTACTTTTAAAGTTACACAGAGAATAATGAAAACAATTTTAAGTGTTAAATTTTTTTTCTTTTTCTTTTTTTTTTTAAAAAAAAGGCATGAAGCCCAACACGACGCTTGAAATCAGACCCTGAGATTAAGACCTGAGCTGAGACCAAGAGTCAGAAGCTTAACCGACTGAGCCCCAGGCGCCCCTAAGAAAAATTTTTACTATGCCTTTTATCCTCTCCCTTTTAACAAGAATTCTCCCATATTTCACTCTTCTTTCAGCGTGAAAGGCAATTAACACTTCACTTACACACAAGGGCTCGTTTACGAAATTAGTATACACAGTAATGTTAACACTGGAAGATGGAGCCATACCCAGGCAAAAATGGTACGTACGTTCAACACATACATATGACTAAAGAGATGTGAGGGTCTTACTGCTTTCCAACGACATAAAATGATTTTTAAATTATCTACATACACCATTGTGTTATTCATACTTTCTTAATTCTGCCACAAATAGTGGTTTATTGTACCCAAAGATCAGTTAACTGTAGTTTAGTTCAATAAAGAGTGAACATTTGTTGGAGCACCTGGGTGGTTCAGTCTGTTAAGTATCCAACTCTTGGTTTTGGCTCAGGTCGTGATCTCACAGTTATGAGTTCGAGCCTCCTGTGGGGTTCTGCACTGACAGGGTGGAGCCTGCTTGGGATTCTTTCTCTCCCTCTCTCACTGCCCCTCCTCTGCTCACGCTCTATCTTTCTCAAAAATAAACATTAAACGAACAAAAAAGAAGCGAACATTTGTTAAACCTTGAGCCAGGCTCTTAAAGACAGGAACGTGATACACCCTTTGTTTTCCCTGATGGCACTACCAGAGTCCTAACTTTAATGTGTCATTTTTCAGTATCTGGCTCTTCTACCAAGTGCCATAAAGACAAACTGTAATGCTTTTTGGCTCATCACTATATCCTCAGGTCTATCTTGCTTAACTCATGGTAGGAATTCAGAAATATTTGTTAATAAATAAACTGATAGTACAAAATATAAATTAAAAACTCATCTAATAAATTAAAAGTATAAACATCCCTCAATTTCCTCAATATATAAATTTAACCATTAAAATTCTGGGACTGGACAAAAACATAAGACTCAAATATGGAGAACTCTTAAATATGGGTTGCTGGAGGGGTTGTGGGAGGGGGAATGGGCTAAATGGGTAAGGGGCACTAAGG